GTTTTTACTCCCACAGAGCTTGAAATATTAACCCAGCATGTTAATTTATTTCTTCCAGAGTTGCCCTGACCATTGCACTTAACATCTCTCTTGGAAGTACTTCAAACCAAGTGGCTGGCTCCATCTCTAGCTTTGTTAATTAGGCACATTACTTCGTTGCTTTTTTTCTTATAGCTTAATGTAATTGGCATTTGTGAAGCTTTTGAAAGGCATGTTTGGGACTACATTTTGTGCAGCTGGCTTTCAACTGCAAGCTGTTTCAAGTGTGGAGTTCTGCAGAGGACAGCCTTTGAGAGCATAGAGAGTGAGTGCCTAGCACATACCCGCTTCCTTTCCAATGGGAACAAAGGGATGTTAGTGTGACCTGTCCCATACAAAGGAACACGTGTGACACATGAACCCCCTTGCATCCATTTGTATTTCTATGCCATTAGATCTGTAATGAGAGCATTACGTGCCCTGCATGGAGAATGGGTCTCCCTTTACAAGCTGTTCTATGATTGCAAAAATGATTTGCTTTGTGATGCTCTTCATCCTGAACTTTAGTCCACATATCAGGATGCCTTGCCAAAAAAGCCTGTAGTTTTTTTCCATAAAAATGCATCTTTGAGCATCCAAACTCAAACCATGAGCTTGTACTTGCTGTAATAATCCCGATACACTGTGTCAACCGCCAGCAAGACTGATGAATTTACACTGGGTGGGGATTTGGCTCATTGATTTCATTTGTCACGGTGTGAAATGATACTCTCTACCTGAGCTGAGAAAGAGTTAGATGTGAGAGCTTAGGGGGAGAAAAAGGAATGTATACACTAAAAAAAAAAAAAAAAAAAAACAAAAAAAACCTCGAAGTCCTGTTTTTCATGGAAATGCCGCCCTCCGGTGGCCTGGAGAAAAGCCTACACACTGCTAGTTGGTTCAAAAAGGTACTTTGACACTGCAGCAAGCTGCAGCTCTCAAATGTGGCTTGTCAGGCTCCTGCCTCAGGAAGTTCACAGGTGCCATAAAAACAAGTAAAAAAATTCAGGACAAAAAGGTATTGTTTCATTTGGTTTAGGATTCAGAAGCAGAGCACTGATGTGAAAAAAAAAAAGAATGTTGTGTGGCCGAAGTATAAAAGGAATCATAGAATGGTTGGTGTTGGAAAGGACCTTAAAGATCATCTTGTTCCAACCCCTCTGCTATGGAAAGGGACACCTCTCACTAGACCAGGCTGCTCAGAGCTCCATGCAGCTTGGCCTTGAACACTTCCAGGGATGGGGCACCCACAATTTCTCTGGGCAACCTGTGCCAGTGTCTCACCAATCTCACAGTAAAGAATTTCTTTCTAATACCTAATCTAAACCTACTCTCTTTCAGCTTGAAACCATTCCCCTTTATCCTGTCACTACATGGTCTTTTAAATAGTGTCTCTTCATCTTTCTTGTATTTTCCTTCAGGTACTGGAAGGCCACCCTGAAGCCTTCTCTTTTCCAGGCTAAACAATCCCAACTCTCTCAGCCTTTCCTCATAGGAGAGGTGCTCCATCCCTCTGATCATCTTGGTGGCCTCCTCTGCACTCGCCCCAACAGGTCAATATCCCTTCTGTGCTGAGGACCCAGAGCTGGAAGCACAGCTCCAGGTGGGATCCCACCAGAGCAGAGTAGAGGGGAAAATCACCTCCCTTGGTCTGCTGGCCAAGATTCGTGCCCTACTGAGGGACTTTGTCACCAGAAAATGTCACTGTGATCCTGCTGTCCTCTGCAGTTCCTCTGCATCTTCCCCACCTGCCTTCTGGGCAAGCAGCCTGTCTCCCTCAGGACCACTGCTCTCAGCACAGGCCATACAATGCATTCAAAGACCTTCCATTTTCTCCCTCCTTTTGTCTTTATTTTTCACTTAAAGAAAAATAGAGTGGTGCCCTAGAATTTGTCTAGCATTAAAAAAAGCCAAAACCCAACCAACTATACTATTCGTACAGTTTTTTCTCTCTGTTTCTGTAGAAGGTTCTTGGTAGGGAGGAAATAGTTTTTTCCAATATATTTTTCTTGATGGTCCTAGTGTATGGGCCTCCAGGTGCTGTCTGAAGACTGCGAATATTTTTGCTATTTCTGCACCACCAAACCTTACATTATGGAAAGATGATGAAACAGAACATGGAGTTCACCAAGCAACGATTTCAGGAAGAACTGTAGTTAATATTTTTCCCAGCAGATGTGGCTGTTGGACCAGAAAAGGCTTAAGGTCAGTTCAGGTGGGTTAAGGGAGAACTGTGGAGATTGGGGGACCCCTTTTCCTGCCATGGATATGCAGCACTAGGTGGTAACTGTGCTGAGACACAGGCTTCTGAGTGAATCTGACTGCCAACAAAAAATAACAACATCCCAATGAAAATTGCAACCTCCCTCAGTCATGTGATTAAGTGGGTTATTGTCTGTTTTTAGTTTTTAGTAATTTTTAAATAAATAGTTACAGTATTTGCCTTGCTATTGATAAATGTGAGGTTATGCATTGAGTATTACATAAAATAGCACACTTGTTGATGTTGCTAAGATGCTTGTAGATGATAAAAGTAATTAGTGCTGTAGTAAGAAAATGTAAATTCAGTGCCATGTTGGCTGTATTATTGGGAAACCCCTGAGGTTTTCTATCACCCCATGGTTACAGGATAGATCAGTTTTCACCATTAGCTTACATTGTTAAGATCTTTATTCAGAAGTGGCTGTGTATGCAAAATGTAGGTTTCTGGGTCCACAGGGAAATTTCTGCATTCCTTGTACTGGCCGAAGTGACATGTTCCTAAATCCTACTGGGTCCTGGGAGGGAAAGGACTATCTGACAGCTCTTCTGTATTACGCTAGGAACCATCCCCTCCCTTGTTAGCCCTGAAATGTCAAATATGGAAAGGTCTCCACTTAATGACATTCCCAGTTGTGCAACAAGCCTGTGGAGAAGGGAGCATGCTGCATCCATCAAGGAGAGGAGGTCATGGCTGTTCAACAGTTTTACTAGAAAACCAGTGATTTGAAAGGCTGAGGGAGGGTGAGCTGATAGTAAATAGTGCTTAATGAGGTACTTGGATGTGCCTCCCCAGATGATCCCAGGTCATGCTGTCAGAGATTTGCACTCTAACTCTACAGAGGCCTTTTTACCTACTGCTTGTGAAGCCAAGATTGCCACATGCAAGTTATGTGAAATGACCTTCATACCATCTCCTGCTATCAGAGGCTGCGTGTCAGCCACTCATTTAGGAACTGTTGTAGGCTTTCAGCACTATTATGGGGGCAGTTTCTGGATGGTACTTTCAAGATCAGGTGAGCACTAAAGCCTGGCAGCTTGTTCAGAGGGCTGTGCTCAGGGGCATCGGCACATCTGAAAGCGTTGTGACAGAAATGGGTCAGTGACCAGAGCACGAGCAAAGGGTCACAGCAGGGAGTTTCTCCTGGCTTTGCACTGCTACATGAACACTATCCCAGACAGTATTATGTGCAGTAGCCTGCAAGTATTCCTACTGAAGCTGGAAATATTCCTACTGATTTCAAGGAAATTTTTAAACAAAAATGAAATATTAATTAATTAATTCGTTAAAATTCATGAGGTATGAGGTACAAAGGTTTTGTTGTCTGTTTTGGATGTAGTTCTTCTGAAGATGGCTGTTTTGGCCCTTTGCACACTATGAACCTTTCAAATATCTCTGCAAAATGTAAGATGTAAAATTAAAACTGCTTTTCTGTCCACTTTCAAGGGATTTTTTTAAGGTCTTTATCTTGAGTTGAAAATGACAAGTCATTTTAGAAGAGCTTCTGGTGTGAAGCAACTGCCAATTTAATATTTCTTTAACATATTTGGATACAGATAATAAAATCTTTTTAAAGGGAAAACATATACCAGGAATAGTTCATATATCTTTTACCTAAAATTGAATGTTCAGTATGTGAAATACTTCTGTAGCAGTATTGCTATGATAATGCAGGAAATGGTGTTTAACATTGTTATTTGCAATTTTATTGCACTTTGTTGTGGAATATTGAAAGTAGGAAAAAGACCCTCTTCATTCTCATACTGGCAAATGATCTGATGAAATGTAAAATCGGAGCATTTATTACATGTAAGTGAGGTATAAATGTATTCCTCTTCACTTTTTCCATAGCAGTGGTTTGAGTGAGATAAACCAGTAATGATGGGTTTATCATGCAGTGCTTTCTTAAGCTACCAAATCAAATCAAGCATTGCTAAAATGCACACTTATCACTATGTTTGAAGACAGCTACTTTCCTTTATTTGTTTGTATCTGTATGACTTTGCCTTTGGAAGCAGTGTTCCTTAGGAAACATCACACTGAACTGGAAAGTTTATGTGATATAAACTTTCAGATTACCATTTTGTGTTCAGAGCCCATGCTGGAGTGTTTCTGTAGACCAAGGTAGGCTACACTTTGTCTTGTAGGATCAACCCTAAATGCCTAAACTCATCTTCAGGAGACCAATTTAAGAACCAAAGTTTGTGTATGTTGGATCAGCCTTGCATATGCTCCTTGGCTGTGTCAGAACTAAACTAAAGCTCTGAATCCAAATATTACTAGCCTCAAAATATTTACTCATAGACTGGGATATATTTCTATCAGTTACATGCTGTCCTCTTGATGCACAGGGCTTTGTTTTAAATATATTTATTACCTTAGAAATAAACAGAAAAAAATGGCACAGGGGAACAATTTTTCTTATCTAAGTAAAAAAAAAAATATTTGTAACCTAAACATGTATTTATCAGTGCTGACGCCCTTTGGCCTTACTCCAGTGAACTTTTCTCACTGACATCAATGGGAGAAAGATGGGCTCTGCATAGGAAACCTATGAATATTTTTTCCTCATCATCCATCCATCCATCCATCTATTTTGGGATGTGCTAAATGCCTGTTCTCTGTTGTAACATTAACATCAGTATGTGGAAACTCGGGTGGCTAAAATAAATCAGTGAAATGCAATATACATGACTTCACATGGAACTGAGTGTACATTGTTGAGCACCAGTGCCCTGTGCCCGCTCTGCCATGCCAGCCCTAGAGCCAGGTACCCCCATTGTGTCCCTCAGAAGTGGGGTGCAAGCAAGGCAGGCATGAACTGTGTGCTGCCAGCATGTCCAGAGCCTCTGTTGTTCCTGAGCCGCCAAAATACTTTTGGTTGCCATTTAATGGCAGTAAAATGGATACTTTTACCAGCCTCAAATTATGGGGATTAAAAGATTTTAGTATTTCACTAAAGCATTTTTTAAAATTTTTTGCATTGTGGGCTTGATTGCTGAAGGCAATGAAAATGATATTGATGATGTGTGAGGTCCTGATTGTTGAGGCAACTGTCTTTCCTTAGCTTTTATAAGGGATACAGGCTTCTAACTAACCTGGGCTATTTTTCCAGCCTTAATAGTACCCTCCTGATTCATGATAGTATGAATTAGCACATTCTCAAATTAGTTTGATTTTTGCTTTTAATGGAAAATTGAAAGGGGTAAGCTCAGTCTTTATGGGCTGAAGTGTTTTCTGTCCACAGGGAATCAGTGGGAGACCTTTACAAAGTTGGACTTTGCTGAAGATGCTGCGTGGCCAATCCTGCCTTGGAGGCTCCTCTGGTCCATGGGAGTCTCCAGGTCTGCTCCAGTCTGGTCCATGGCTGCTCCACAGAATGGTCCCGTGCCTTGACATTGATTTATCATCCACCATGACCACAAGCTCAGGGATGAGGAAGGAATACCCATGGCTGCTACCATCCCTGCCCCTCTGGCTTCAGATAAATCACCAAGCTTGGAGCATGACTGCCCCAGAAAGAAGGAGAAGCAACTGCATTGCTCTGCTCAACACATGGCAGCTTGCTCCTCTCCTCTCCACAGAACATTGATCTTCAAGGTCATACACAATTAAAGGAGTGGGAGACATTCCCTGGAATTAGCTGTTCCCTCTTTCATTTTCCTGCTTAAGGTAAGAGCTGCACAAACTCCTTCTATAAGAGTCACCTAATAGAGAATACAATGACTGGTCTGTCATCAAAGTATTTAGGGATGGTGACGATACCTAGATTGGTTTCCAGTGTGTTTTTTGTTTTTATTTTACTGTGATGTTTCTACAAAATCCATAAATCATAGGGATGTGATAAGAAACAGGTCGCAGTTGCTGGTTATTCTTGTCCAGATGCACAGAAATGCCCTGATTGTTTTTTTCCAATGACAACCAGCTCAGGGCTAAACATTTTTCAGTTGCACAGCCAGCTTTCAAGGTTACACATAGATACTGAATGAAACAGAGCCCACTGGTTATTTTTAGAGAGGCTCTAAACAAGAAGCAAATCCCTGCAGCAGTGCTGCCAGAGATGCATAAAGTTCAAATCCAAATTAAAACTGCCTATCTTTGGCCTACATTCCAGCTTGAACTTGAGGAAAACTGTGACTTGAACTTTATGACAAAAACTCTTTTGCAATTAGTTTTAATACCTGAGAATACATGAACTTGGCACAAACACTTAAATAGAACTTGAATGAAAAATGTGAACACTTGTCCCAAAATGTAGTACCTGTTCTTGTGAGTTTTGTATGGTTTCAGTAGCTACACTGGAATTTGGAGTGTCTAATTTTTTGTGATTCTTAGTTTCAACACATCTTTGTAAGATCAAGCCCTACAATGTAATTGTAAATTTTGGGGGCAGGAGGAGAAACATGTTTATTTATTGATCCTTCTAATAATGATCTGTGATGCTCAGGTCCAGGTTTAGCAGTGACCACAACAGAGTATGAAGAAAGGAGACCCTTTGACAGCAGCATATTTATGCAAAGTAGTGCAACTGAAGCATGTTCTTGATTTCTTTGCTGAATCAGAGCCTGTATCTTCTTCCTGCCAAGGCAGCGATCTAATACCACTCCTAAATGCACTAGTAATTCTAGAAGCCCTAACGAAAGTCAAGATAACACCACAGATTTTATAAATAAGGGTCTTTATTTAGAATACTGTTGAAAACATTCTTGGCAACCAAATCGTATAAATATATAAAGTTAAAGTTTGACACAACAAACCAAGCAATATTAAATATTTTTAAATTTTTCCCCTTTTTAAATTTTTGGTTTTTTCTTTTTTTAATTTTTTTTCTTTTTTTTTTTTTTTTTTTCTTTTTTTTTTTTTTTTGGAAAGCAACTCTTATTTACAATTATACAAAAGTTTTATAAAAAATGGTCCACAACCTTATTTTGGCCAGAACAGGAGTAATAGGAAGGATCTATCATGCCACTACTGCTGTAGATTTCTATTTTCCTCCACATTCAAGAGCCAGTTTCCTATTCCCCACAGCCCAGATTAAACATTGGCCATTTCATGGTATACGATTTTATCTCTAGACGTATTAAATAACTTTAGTTTAACAACCAATAAATAACTATGTGTACTTTGAAGTGATACAGGTTTGCAAAGTTAGATAGTTGAAGGAATTTTCAGTGATATTTTAAAATTGGAACAAGTCTTAAGAAGTCTTTTCAACCTTAGAAGGCAGGTCTTGAGCGAGGCCAAACGAGCAAATTGGTTTTGGTGCAGTCCAGCTGGAGGGGTCCTTATAGCACTTGGTAGATGGGGTTGCTGCTGCTGTTATCCTGGGGGAGTGGGGTGCAGTTGGTGGGGGAAGGAATTTGGGCTCCAGCATCACTCAGATTTACTCCTTCTGGAGGGGAACAGGGACTCCCTTCAGCAACAGTTTCCACCGGAGGCAGTATAGGGCATGTGGAATTATCTGTGGAAATCCTCTCTACAATGCTTGAGAGGCAATCGAGACTGGAAACAACAGAATTCTTCCCATGCTTTGGATCTAAAAAACAGACAAAAAGGTGCTCAGATTATCCAATGGGTAAGTAACATCAGTGGGCACTACACACTTGTGGGCATGTGAAGACTCAGGAAATGGATATTGGTGAAGGACACCAATAGTCAGAAAACAGATTATAATTTCAAAAAGGAAGAGAGGTCCAACCACAGTGTGCTGCTCTGGGGACAGGGAGGATCTAAGGCTTCACTGAGTCCATACAAGGGAAGAGCAGATTTGAAATCAATCATAAATTACTCCATTTTGGATCAATGACAGAGTAAGAAGTCTTCATGTAGAATATGGTTAAATGCTGAAATTAGTTGCAGGGAATAACATACTTCTATCCAACTGTTAAGAGTTGCAAAACGAGAAATACAGCTATAACACATCCCCATATTTGCAAATACACCTAGAGGAAATCCAGTGCCTCTACCAGCAACAATGGCTTGCTGGCTGGAAAGGCAAGCTCCTCTCTCAGCCCAGCTGGACATGGAGCAGGCGCAGGAAAGCTGCTGCACTGCCTGCCTCTGTCTCGGTGTTTCACACTGCTGTTAGGGCGCGTACTCACCGTTTGGGGACTCTGTGTAGTAGCTGCTATCATAGCTGTTCCTTCTGCGAGAGCTGCAAGGAGGCCCGCTGTACTCCATCTGGGAAGGAGAGAAATCCAAGTGAGGTCAGACTCTTACCCAAATCCCAGGAACCATCTAATTTCATATTTCAGGCTCTGGTCTGTTGCCATCATTCCAGTCCTGTCTGAAATGCCATCAACTTGTAGATTCTTTGAGTAAGGAAAAACTTGGCTAGAAGGGGGTCCACCCCAGAATATTTCATATGGCACAGCTGTTCCACAGTTAAGTTACCACTCTCGCATCGAATGCTGCAGCGTTACAGATGAGATGAGGCTTTCCAGCATTCTGATCAGATACAGCCCTTCATGTATCTTTAGTTTACAAGAGGGAGACCTGAGTGTCCTGAGACCTGTGTGAAAGGGGAATTATGTCTTTTTAATTTAGTTTTTGAAGATTTCTCTAAACATGAATTCCTCTTTACAAGCCTCTGTCTACCTTGCCCTTTTGTATTTCCTTCAGTTTCCCTTTCCATTTCATATAGAAAATGCTCTAGAACATTGACTAATATATTTGTTTCCAATAGTTTAATCCACAATGAAATTCCTGTATTAAAAGAGGCTGTATCTTGAAGAGGAATAATTTGTGCAAATCTCTCCAATCTGTTAAGTATCTCATAATCACAGATACTCAACTCAGTAAGGACTATCCCCACCAGAGCACAAAAAACAATCTCTGGTCTGAAAGGGCCTATCCAGAGAGCTGTCCTGGACTCTGGTCACCACATCCCACCAGCCCAGAGTTTGACCAGAGGCTGAACCTACAGCCCCAGCCAAAAGACGTGGGGATGAAACACCCTCTCTGGCACCCACCCTTCTTCTCCCATGCCCATAATGTACAAACAGGACTGAAAGCCTGGATTCTCCTTCCTATTGCTTGTAAATATCTATGGAGGGGATGAAGTGAGAAGAGAAATGGATAATCTTGTTCTTAAGGGTCAAGAAAAACAATTCTTGTTGCTTAGACACTCCTCCTGTTGTCATGATGAATGGCAGAAAACAAAACTCAGACTCTTACCAATTCCCCTGTAACTACCATATCCTAGGGGGCCCTTGCTCTCTGCTGTCCTTCGAGGATTTAAAGGTAATGATACAGCAGAAGATGGAAACAGAGATGCCTCAGGAGCTATGGAATCACAGGCAATGCCCCCGGGCGCCCATTCCAGGCAGCTTCCCACAGTTCTCCCCCAGCAGCTTTGCCTTGGCTCCTCCAGGACATGGGGAACCTGCCTAACTTCTTATCCCAGAGAACAATGTGTGTATGAGATTCTTCTTGCTTCCCAGAGATCCTGCCATGTGGGGACCCCACCTCCCTTCGCTGCGGGTGCTCAAGGCACGAGAAAGGACTTTGTCTTCTGCCTGGGGAGGTACAGAAGGCAGCTGCTATAGGAAGGGCAGGAAGAGGCGACTCGCCCTGCTCAGGTTTGGACCAACAGCGTCCAGGGCACCTTGGTGACAGGGAGTCCTCCCTGCAGCACTCACCATGCCATCGGAGCAGTTGGAACGGGGGCTGGAGGCGTCCGACTCCCCGCTGTAGTGCTCCAGCACCGGGTAATAAGCGTCCTCCTGCTCCCGCAGCAGGGCCTGCAGGCTCTCGATGTAGCGGATGGCGTTGCGCAGGATCTCCACCTTGGGCAGGCGCTGGTTGGGGTTGGTGGAGGTGCAGCGCTTGAGGGTTTCGAAGGCCTCGTTGACCTTGCTGAGCCGCCGGCGCTCCCTCATGGTGGCGGCCTTACGGCGGTCGGCGTTGGTGGTCTTCCTCTTGCACGCCTTGCAGGCCCACAGCAGGCAGCGGCCAGCCTGGTGGTGCCCGCTGGGCGCCCGGACGTGCTCCTCCTCGTGCCCGTGGTGGTGCCCGTGGTGGTGCGGGTGCTCCTCGGGCTTCAGCAGACCCCCGACGTGCACCAGCCGGGGGTCCAGGTCCTCGAAGAAGTGCATGTCCGACGTGTTGAAGCACGGGTCATCGTAGAAGTCATCGGCGGCTGTGAAGGAGCAGAGGGAGCCCTCCGTCATCTCCATGGGGCCAAGTAAGTCCATGGGGGCGGCAGACGGGACAGCGGCTAGGCCAGGGGGGACAGCGAGGCGCTCGCAACGGAGAGGCCTTCGACCGGGCTGCTCTGCGGCCGGGCGGGTGCGCAGAGCCGAGACTCTCGCAGCCTCTCCCAGGCGAGGCCACCAGCGCCGGCTGCTGCCCCGACCCCCTCCGCAGCCGCGCCGGTCCGGGAGCGCCACTCGGGGCCGTATTTATGGCCGAGCCCCCCGGCGCGGCGGGTCGGGACGGGGCGGGTCGGGGGGCGCGGCCGGGCGGGTCGGGGGCC